CCCGCGGCCGCGCAGTCGGCGGAGAGAGGCTGCGGGGCAGCGGCCTGGATGGCAGACGGACGAATCAGTTGCCGAGACGCTCCGCCAACCACCCCGCCGTCGGCGCGCTGCGCCGCGCCAGCGGCGAGGTCATGAGAGTGGCCGCCCCGGCGGGCGGCGACGCGAGACTCGCTGTCCGCGCGTCGAGCCGGGCCGCGACCTCATCGGGGAGTTTCAGTTTCGGCTGCGCGCGGTTAGCGCCCCGACATGCGGGGCGCCTTCGATCGCATAAATGTCCGAGGGGGCGCAGGCGCGGGAGGGCGCAAGTGCCGCAGCTCGGGCGCGGGCCAGAGGCAGGGGCAAAGTAGCGCAGCGGAGACATGACTTTGTGCTTGGCGCGGCGATGACTCTCAAGGGCCCGCGTGGTCGGGAAGCCCGCGTGGCACTCTGGGCACGCATAAGGCAGCGCCTGCGCATCGCCCGCGGCATGGGCCGGCTGCGCATCAGCAATAGAATCGGACAAATGCACGCACGCAGTAGCAGACGCCCATGCCCCAAGGGACTCGACGAGGGGACGGCGCCATGGCATGGCGTCGCTCGGCCCAGGCATGTCAGCGCAAAGGGCAATTGTATCGCGACGCCGCTGTAGGTCCGACCGGGGAAGCGCCACCCACGGTAAAGGACGGTCTCGCCAACGGGTCGAGAGGAACGCGATAACGCGCGGCGGCGGCCGACGCACCGTCCGACCGAGGAACTTGAGGCGGGCCCGGCATAGAAGGCAATCGGTGCTCGACAACTCGGCGCGGAGCCGCGCCTCCTTGTCCGTCTCGGCCGGGCCACGCCGCGGAGCACCGAATATGCGCCCGAGGGTCCTCGCGCGCGCATTCGTAAGCTCGCGGACGTAGCGCGCGGCGGGCACGAATATGTGGCCTGCGTAGAGAAGCCAAGAAAAGATTAGCGAGGCCATGACCGACAGCCTTCAAGTATGGGCACCGGCGAGGAGCCGAAAATCTTCGTACTCGAAGGGGCCCAGGCCTGCGTGGCGCCAGCCTTCTTGTGCTTGGCATCGAGCGCGAAGTTGCAGACTTCCGATGCCACGTTGTCCAAACTCTTGTAGCGGTGAACAACCCTGACGGCCGCGCGCGGCATCGAACCAGGGATCGGAAGTAATCGCTCACCGTTGGCGCCGATGCGGCGTGCCGCGGTGCAACCAGTTCCGCTTTACTTGAGGAAGGCCTCCGTCTTTTTCGGCATGGAACTCATCTCCAACGCAAGCAAATAATACCGATGAAATGACCTCCAGCATCTTGTCGACGGCGGCGTCGAGGCGGGCCGGGGACGACGCGCGCGCGAAAAAGGCCTCGTCATCTACAGACGCATCAACAACGGAATCGACGCCCATGGAACCAGAGTCATCGGCAGGCGAGGAGGCGCCCCAGAAGGTCGGCTGACCGCACTCACACCCCTGCCAGCCGCCCTTGAGAACCGAGAGCGCCGTGTCACGAGTCGAAAGTGGCGCGTGAGACCACGTGGGGGTTGCAAAGTAAGCGGGCAACCGCTGGGCCCCTAGGCGCATTCCAAGGCCAGGAACTGGGGGCGGTGCCGGGCAATCCACTGCGCAACCCAGGGGGCCTGCTTGCACGAAAGGTCACGAGCGCGCAGGTGGGCGTAGGGGTCGGGCTCGCGCGGAGGGATGCCGAGGATGACTTCACGGATCATCTCGTCGAAAGCCTTGACCGGGTCGACGAGAAGCACAGAGTGTAAGAGGCCGCGGCCATGTCGGCGCCGCGTCCGCCGACGGCGCCATGCTGGCTGTCCAGGATGCCCATTTTGTAAGCATCGAAAACACGGGCGCCAAGACCTCCTCCATGCCCTTCGCTAGGTGGTCTTCGAGCACAACGAGTCGGTATTCATCAGGATCTGGGCGAACACCTTTGGTCTTGGAGTCTTCAGCGAGGCGACCGCCAGCCCACTGCCCGGTTCACCGCTCCTCATCGGCAATGCGGCGGAATAGCGGGTCAAGCTTTGCTGCCATGATTGCGCCGCCCGTCAGCAGGATGTCGGCAGGGAACCAGATGCGCCCCATGCCGCGGTCGCACGGAGCCGGCCAAGGGCCTGGAAGACGCGCTGCTCGTCGAACGCGACAGTCAGGGAGAGCTGCGGAGCAAGCGGTCGCCTCTCAAAGCTGTTCGACGAGACAACGGTGGCGTCGAAGACTCGCGCGACATGTGCGAGCCAAGCCTTGTCACGCCCCTCGTCGGTCTGAATAAACTCGCCGTCAGCGTTGCGGACGTGCGCAGGCTACTTCCCGACGTTCCGGCCCGAGAGCGAACGCGCGATGCCATATGACGCCTTGGAGTCACCGCGCATGGCTGCATCAGCCGCGTCTTGAGCACGACTGCGCAGGAACGTCGGGCGGCCGGTGGAGACGAGCAACTTCGTCGAACGCGAGATGAAGTGCAGCAGCCGCCAAGGCAACGCAGCATGGCAACAGTGCTGGCGCCATGCCGCGAGGAGACCGTCGACGCGAGCAGCAGAGCCCCGCCATAGTGCTGGTAAGGGCGCCACCGTGCCCTTGAAGCCACCGTTGCCTTGAGGCACGAGTTGAGGTGTGCTCAGGTCCTCGGCCTGATCCCTGAAGCGTCAGTCCTCAATCCTGAAGATGACGTAAAGGGCCCGCACTCCAAATTCACGCATCTTCTGGGGCTCCGCTCGTCCTGTCGCCTGACTGTTCCGGACCCCGGAGGGTCCCAAGACGGGCCCCGAGAAACTTGGGGCATCAAGAGGCCGCCCAGACAGGCACAGAGGGCCACGCATCGCAGTACGATGGGCCCAAGAAGCCCAAGATGGCCCTGAGACAGCCCAACAAGCCGTCGAGGCGCGCCGAGAGAGCTCCAAGAGACCAAAACCATAGATTGTCCTGATATCGTTTGGGTCCTCGGCGTTTCGAACTTTCGACGCCCCAAGACGTCCCAAGAAGCCCCCAAAACCGCCCCAAGACAGCCCCAGAGGCCCGCAAGAGGGGCCACCCAGACATTCCAAGAGGGCCCCAAGCCGACCCCAGAGGTGCCCAAGACGGCCCAAGAGAGCCCGAAGACAGCCCGACGAAGGGCCCAAGCAGGGGAACACGGGCCGAACATCCGAGCTTTCCGCCCGAAAAAAAAAACAGGACGCCCCAAGAGGCCCCGAGAGGTCCCTAAAACTGCCCCAAAGAAGCCTCGACACTGCCTCAACGAGGCCCCCGAGAGGCCCCCCACGACATCCCAACAAACACCGTAGAGGCCTATGGCCCACAATCCAGTCACAGCGGCGGGGTGAGCCGAAGGCCATTCGACCTGCTTGGCACGGGGACGGAACGCGCAACTACTTTGAGAAGATGCGGAATCGCTGCCCTGCCCGTTGTTCCTCCTCTTCCTTCCCCGATGCACCTCGCCCTTGTATCATCCTTGGGTGGTCGTGGGGCCCTCTTGGGCTGTCTTGGGGGACTCTCGGGCCGTCGTCAGGCCTTCTTGCGCCGTCTTGGGGGCCTCCTGAGTCGTGTTGAAGTCATCGCGCACCATCTTGGAGCCCCTTTCGGCGACCTCAGATGTCTGTTGGGCCCTCTGGAGCCGTCCTGTAGATCATTTTAAGGCACCTCACACTCGCGAGGAACTTACGCGCTTACGTGGAGCCTCCAAACCACCAGGAGCTTACGAGCGTACGCGGTGCTTTCGTGGAGATTGCGCGGCCTGTGCTTTGTTGGGGTCCCTGTTGGGCCATTTTGGAGCCCTGCACGTGGAGAAGGAGAAGGAAGAGGAGGAGGAGGAGGAGGAGGAGGAGGAGGAGGAGGAGGAGGAGGAGGAGGAGGAGGGGAAGGAGGAGGGGGAGAAGTAGGAGCGAGGAACGAGGAATGCGGAACGAGAAGCGAGGAGCGAGGAACGAACAGCGCTCCCGATATTCCCATCGAGGGGCGAGGCGAGGAGGAGAGAGGCGCAGCTACGAAGAGGAGCAACGAGAAGGATGAGGAGGATGAGAAGGAGGAACCGACCATGAGGGAGAGGATGAGGCTGCGGAGGATGAGGAGGATGATGAAGAGGAAGAGGAGCGAGAATGCGCAAGGAGGAGCGAGGAGGTGGATGCGGGAAGCGAGGGGGAGGAGGAGCAGGAGGAGGAGGAGGAGGAGCGAGCCAGGACGATGACCAGGCGGAACAACAAGAGAACACAACCATCAGGAGGAGGAGGAGGAGGAGGAGGAGCAGGAGGAGGAGGAGAAGGATGAGGAGGAGCGGGTAGCAAGGGTGAGGAGGAGGAGGAGGAGGAGGAGAAGGAGGAGGGGGAGCATGAGGAGGAGGAGGAGTGTGGAACCAGGAGCCAGCGAGGAGGAGGCAAGGACGTGAAGCGAGGAGCGAGGAGCGATGGGGAAGGGTCAGGAAACGGAGGATGAGGAGCGATGAGCCAGCAGCGAGGAGCAAGGGGTGAAGAGGAGCAGGAGGGAGGAGGACCAGCAGCAGCAATGTGGAGGAGCATGAGGAGGGACAAGGGGGAGGAGCAGGAGCCAGGAGGAGCGAGGAGCGAGGAAGAGCAAGGAACGCGGAGCTAGAAGCGAGGCGGAGCGAGGATGAAGAGCAGAGACCCTGAATCATGGGATCACGCCGCCGCCGCCGCCCGCGCTGACGCCGCAGAAGCTGACGCCGCGGTGGACGCCGACGTGGCCGTCGTCGTCGCTTCTCGTCAATTCTCGGGGACCTCCTCCTCCTCCTCCTCGCTCCTCCTCGCCTGCCTCTCTCCTGCCACTCCTCCTCCCTCTCCTCCTTTTTTTTTCCTCCTCCTCCTCCTCCATTTACAATTCGCGCGGGGGAGGGCAAGATGTCGTCAGCGTGGCTGTCGTCGCTTTCCTGGGCGGGCGTCGTCTTCGACAACGACGCCGACGCTGTTGACGTCGGTGTTGCCGCCGTTGACGCCGACGCCGACACCGCCGACGACGTCACAGTCGCCGTCGTCGAGCGCAGGACGCAGGATCGCGGTGGCCACCCGAGGGGGTCCTGGCGCATCATGTCGCCCATGCGCTCCGCGGACGGGTTCCATTTGAATTGCTCGCCCATGCTCGCGGGGACGCCTCTGCCCCGTCTGCCGAGATGCTGCTCTCGGCGCGTCGACATTGCCATCGTCCTCGTCGTCTTCTCCAAGAACAGCGCTAGCACTAAAAAAAGTCTCATTTGGCTGGTAAGTGATTGGCATGGGCTTGCGGGTGTTTGCCCAATGGCCGCCCGTGGGCGCCTTCTGTGCTGGCATGGGCGTGCCCCCCTTCCCAAGCCCCCCAGGGGGGTTTCGAACCCCCCCCCCTCCCCAGGCCCCCCCGGGTGGTTTCGACCCCCCCCCCTCCCCCCTCCCCACTCGCCGCCGGCCAACGACGACGACGACGGAGACGACGACTCATTCTTGCGCTGGTCGGGGGGGGGGTTCAGCCCCCCCGGGGGGTTCGAACCCCCCGTTCCTAGACGACGACGACGACGACGACGACGACGACGACGACGACGACGACGACGACGACACGACGACACAACGACGACGACGACGACGAAAACAACGACGACGAGGACGACGACGACGAAGATGACGTCGACGACGACGACGACGACGACGACGACGACGACGGGCGGACCCTGTCGGACGGTCGGGCGGGCGGTCCCTATCGGGCGGGTGGTGTCGGGCGGGCGGGACACTGAATTCTGAAGATGCGTATACACCATGACACATGAGAACCCCAACGGTCGGGTCGGGACGGGCGGCCCCTATCGGGCGGGTCGGGCGGACCCTATCGGGCGGGTGGTGTCGGGCGGGCGGGACACTAAAGTCTGATGCGTATACACCATCACACATGAGGACCCTAACAGGCGGGTCGGGACGGGAGGACCCTAACGGGTCGGGTTGGGAGGGCGGAGCACGAAAGTCTGATGCGTATCCAGCATGACACATGCACCCTAAAGGGCGGGTCGGGACGCGCGGACCCTATCGGGCGGGGCGGGTCGGGACGGGCGTACCCTATCGGACGGGCCCAGCTATCGGGCGGGCGGGACACGAAAGTCTGATGCGTATACGCCATGACACATGAACATCGAATCCGAACGGACGAGTCGGGACGGGCGGCCCCTATCGGGCGGGTCGTGCGGACCCTAACGGGCGGGTCGGGTCCGGCGGGCGGGACACTAAAGTCTGATTCGCACACAACTTGACACATGAGCACCCCAACGGGCGGGACGGGACAGGCGAACCCTATCGGGCGGGTCGGGCGGCGGGGGGACCATATCGGGCGGGTCGGGCGGACCCTATCGGGCGGGTCTGGTCGGGTGGGCGGGACACTAAAGTCTGTTGCGTATACAGCATGACACAAGGGAACCCTAACGGGCGGGTCGGGACGGGCGGACCCCAACGGGCGGATCGGGCGGGCGGACCCTATCTGGCGGGTCGGGTCGCGCGGGCGGGACACGAAAATCTGATGCGTATACAATATGACACATGAACACTTTATCGGACGGGTCTGGACGGGCGGACCCTATCGGGCGGGGCGGGTCGGGACGGGCGGACCCAGCGAGCGGGCCGGGCGGGCGGACCCGAACGGGTGGGTCGGGTCGGGCGGGCGGGACACTAAAGTCTCATGAGTATACAGCATGACACATGAGCACCCGAGCGGGCCGGTCGGGACGGGCGGACCGCATCAGGCGGTTCAGGCGGGCAGACCCTATCGGGCGGGTCGGGTCGGGCAGGCGGGACACTATAGTCTGATGCGTATGCAGTCTGCCTCCTGTCTCCTCCTCCTCCTCCTCCCCTCTCCTCCTCCTCCCCCTCCTCCCCTCGTGCTCCTCCTCCTCCTCCTCCTCCTCCTCCTCCCTCCTCCTTCTCCACCTCCTCCTCCTCCTCCTCCTCCTCCTCCTCCTCCTTTGTTTCGTCCTTCCCCTCCTCCTCCTCCTTCTCCTCCTCCTCCTCCTCCTCCTACTTCTCCTTCTCATGCCCCTCCTCTTCGCGTTCACTCGCCCACTGCGGCTCCCACCCCTGAACCACGGCCCCCTCCCGCTGCTAATCCTCATCCTCCTCCCCCGTTCCTCTCCCTCGTCCTTCTTCTCCAACGCAAGGCCGGCGCTGGCGCAGATCTGCCACGACGTCGTCGTCGTCTTCTTCGTCGTCGTCATCGTCGTCGTCGTCGTTGTTGTCGTCGGCGGCTGCCGGCGGCTAAGGGTAGGGGTGGAGGTTTCGAACCCCCCCCGGGAGAGCCCGGGGAGGGGAGGGGGGGGTTGCACCCCCCCTCTCGCTTTTCGGGGGGGCCGGTTCCCGACCCCCCCCCCCCCAACCCGTGGTGTTGAGGGGAGGGGGGCGGAGGAACCCCTCCCCTCCCCATGCCAGTGGCGCCAGAAAGCGCTCTTTCCCAGATAACTTACACATGGGCTGCACCATACACCTTGCACATCCAGAGAGGACAAACTCACTCTTAGGCATAGGGTCCACGGTGCTGTCAAGCATTCCTGTATCATTCCTATGTTTCGGTCGTACCTCGTAGATCGTAGATGATAGATCGTCGAGATCGCGCGGTGCGAACAGCACGAGAAGAGGCGGCGTGCAAGAGCGGCAGCCTCGCGGGAATGGGGAGGGTGCCTCCCTCGCGGACCCGTGCGCGCTGTGACGAAAAATCGCGCCCGACCTGCCTCCCAGGGACCGTTAGGAAGCTGTCAGCGGCGCAAAACCGGTCTGGGAGAAGGAGTAGAGAGCTCCGAGGCCTCCGTCACGACAAAAAACGACGTCGGATGTCTGGGCGTCTGCTGACATGCTGCTCACGGCTTGCCTCTCCCCTCCCCGTCCTCGGCAAGCAATGGTGAAATTCGGACTGACTGACGGCAACCAGCACTGCCTTCAGAGTTTGTTACTCCTCCTCCTTCTCTTTTCCTCCGCCTCCTGCCGTTGCATGTTGTGCATCGCTACGCTCGATCTCGCGCGCGGGTATGCCTGCTCTCCCTCTTCCCATTCCTCCTGCTGTCGTGGCCGCCTTGTGCGCCGCCTCGTGTGCCTGCTGTTTCCCCCGGTTTTCGCCCGGTCGCCGCTCCGTGGCCGCCCTTTGCTTTCGCTGGGTGCCAAGCTTGCGCTACACAGCTTGCACCACGCAGCTTGCACCACATGGAACTTTCCGCGTAACCTTCACGTCCAGGGTGCAACAATTCACTGGTTCGGGTCCACGCTGGAAATCATCTAGTCACATACGCTGTGTTGTCGCACGTCGTTGGCAGGTTGTTTTCAGCTTCCTGCTAGCATGTGCAGACGTGACGGTGAAAACGATCGCACGGAAAGCGTGATCGTGCAAGAAGCCAGCATGGAGTGCAAACGCCAAATGGGCGCTGCAGACTTTACTTCGCGAGGCAAGGGAGGAGTGAGCCACGCATTCTGGGGCCACGCAAGAGGCGCGGAAGAAGCCTGTCCATACACCGTCGCGACACCTCCTCCTCCTCGCAGACCTCCTCCTCCTCCTCCTCCTCCTACTCCTCCCCATCCTTCTTCTCCCCTTCATCTTCCGCCTTCCCCCCTCCTCTTCCTCCCTCCACCGTCAGGCTTGACTCAGGGGGTAAGCCTGTGCCCGATCGGGGGGCTTACATTCTAAGCGCTCGGCCACACCTTCCTTATCCTGCGCTTGACCCAGCGCACCCAGACGCCGTCACGCCCGAGGCTGCGTGGCCTTTGCGTGCGTGCTGCGCCCGGTCCTACGCAAGGGACCTCCTGCGCGCGTGGGCTCAAAGCCCCACGCCGCGCCTCATTCGCAGGCTGGGAGAGGCTGAGACCCTGCTTGTAGAGCACCACGGCTCTGCCCAGCTCGCCATGTCGCGCAAGGATGACGACACGTCAGAATGGACGTGCCGGAAATGCAAGAGCCGCGACGGCAACCCGTCCCGCAACCGGGCTGGGCGGATCGATTCCTACAAGTGCCATGTGGCGAAAGGGCAGCTTCTTGGCCAAGGTTGTGTGCACGGGGGGGCCTGCCACACACACTGGACACAAAGGAGGGGCAAACGCCACGTTGTCGAAGCAGTTCAAAGACCTGCAGGCCGAGCACGGCAAGCTCAAGAAGAAGGGGCAGGACCAAGAGATGGGGAAGGCCATCAACAATGACACCGAGGACTTGCGAAACAAGTGGCGGCGATCAAGAAGGAGATCGGGCTGCTCCGCGAGTGCTCCGGGGCCGCAGCGGCGGCCGCCCTGCGGGAGAAGGAGGCGGAGCTCAAGGATGTGCAGGCGCAGATCCTGGCCGCTAAGCCCACAGGGACCCCTCGGCGACAGCATCGCGAAGCTGCAGAAGACGATCGACAAGCGCAACGCTACGATCTAGGAGCATCAGGAGGCGATTGCCAAGGCGAGGGACAAGAACGAGAAAGACCTGCAAGGCTCTAGGAGCTGGAGTTTCAGCAGCAGGTCGTGGCCAGGGGCCATGTTGTGGCCAGCCCGCCATCTGACCCCGAAGACCTGCTCTGGCTCCTCGACACCTTGGTCGCGGGCCTCCGGACGAGTGGGGCTTCTTCCGAGCAGCTGCAATCCGATGCCCCTTGGGAGTCCCAGCTGCGGTTGCACCTGTCAGCCATGAAAGAGCTCCGCGCCCGGGAGGCCGCTGGTCGGCCCGCCGCACTGCTGGCCGCGCCTGCTGGGGCGCCTGCTGCTGCTCCTGCTGTTGCCGCTGGAGGCGCATGCGCAGCACGACAGGGCGGCGTCCTGGGAGGCCGGGGCGAAGGAGCAGGAGCTAGAGAGGCCGGCACCCTTTCTGCACCTACCTCCGCCGCTGCGTCCGACGGCCCAGACTGGGCGATGCTGGACGGAGAAGAGCGGGCCCAACGGCTTCAACTTGTCCGCGAACTTGAGAGCGAGGCTCCAGGCGACGACGACGGCGAGAAGCAGAAAGCCAAACGCCTTAAGACCCGCGAGGCCAAGGCAGAGAACCTGTGCTCGAGGGCGGGACGCCACGTGCGCCTCAAGGGACTCAAGCCCAAGCCACTGGCTCGCGGGTCGCCTGGGTAGCGAGCAACCCGCACCCACCCTCCCCGCAGCAGTCCGCGCCCAGGCCTAGACAGGCCCTTTACCATGGCAAGT